GGGTGACCTTAGGGGATGCATCTTTGAAGGTCACATTTGGGTCCATGATTGTGATGAAGGGTGTCAGAAAGAAGAATTTATACTATTTGATTAAGAGCACAGTGATTGGTGGAGAGCTGACGACATCTTTGGATTTGGCTAGACCGTGGTATTTGTTGATGTTGAGATATTTGATTGTTGATGCCGTGCATGGATTATTGATGAGTGCTTTGACCTGCAGATTAAAGTCCTGTGAGCACATTGGTATGAGCAAGAAGATCGAGGTGGAGTTTGACACTTCTATTCACCGAGCGAAGGGTCTTCTTCATGGTGTTCATTCAGGTATTTGGGGGCCTTCCAAGGAGGCATCACTGGGAGGTAATAGGTATTTGGTTTCCTGTGTTGGTGACTATTCTAGGCATTTGTGGGTTGCAATCAAGTCCAGTTGGTGTGAAGTCCTAGTAGTCAACAACAGGTGGAAGAAGTGTATTGGTAGAAATATAATACGTCGTTCTGATTTTGGTGTTTTCGTCGAAAGTTGCCTTCATCATTGATTTCATTAGAAACTTCAAACGTTACAAATGAATTCAAATAACAAAAATAAAAATTACAACTTTCTTGAAAATAAACGCAAGATCCGTTTATCGTCTCTTGCTTGCGTGGGTCTTTGGCCTGTGACGGGGACGTCGATATCCGTGGACTACCTGGCAATCAGATCTGATCCAGAAAAATCGGGCAGAACTTCGTCGATCCGCGAGGAGATCTAGAAGCTTGAAGCGCCTATCTCGGCTAAAACGAGATATTTGCTCTTGTTAGGATTACCGGCGAAGGGTAATGCTAAGGAACGGACACGGGTGATGCAATCTGATGAAGACCTCTCTTGTGTTGAAGCGCTCGACCACTCTTCACTGCAGCAGGGCTTCGCCAACTCTCCAAAAATCCAGATCCTCCAAAAGTGAGGCCTAAGGTTCCTATTTATAGGCATGGGGGGCATATAGGGCGTTGGGACACCACCCCTGGGGTGTCTCCGCTCTTGTCTCGCAGGCCCGATCAAGCCGAGACACCACGCTGAGGGGCTGCTGACGGCTTGGCCGAGACACCCCTGGGGTGTCTTGGCTTTGCCTAGACACCCCTGGGGTGTTTCGACTTTTCCGAGACACCCCGGGTGCCCCAGTTCAGCCTGAGACGCTCCGTTGTGTACGTTTGATTGTTTCCGCCGTAAATTCTTCGTCCGAACTCGGATTTGAGTGATTCCAAGTGCGTTGGAAGATTGACGAAGAGTTCCATCTGCTCCGATGGTTGGATTATCTGTAGAGTGATCGAGGTATGAAGGACATTGTTCTTTTTGTGAACATCGCAGGGTTCCCGATTGGCCCGTGCCTCCGTTATTCCGAAATTCTATCGGCTCACGTAGTTCGTCGATTCACTTCAATCGTTCATCGACGTCAATCGAACTCCTGTGGATCGGATGATGACGTTCATTGTCGTTCTTTAACACTGAGCCATTCGTGGAGACCTATAGGCAATTTTCGATGCCTACATTTGGTAAGGTTCTTTTCTGCGTTTGTGCCGAGCTCACGACAGTTTGAGACACTTCATTGGAGAGGAAACATTGGGGCGACGAGATGAGAAACATTGGGGCGACGAGATGAGGTGGCAGATTTGATGAGCCGTTCCTCGCTGGAGGAGGATCAATGTTTGAAGTCGATCATTGGTTTGTAGAGGAGTTCTGGTATTGAGTCTTTGACATATTAGAGTCATCTTATTCATAGGTTACCTACTGCTGCGTTTGGAGTATTTAGATCTGGTGGAGCTGCTTCAGATTTTGGGTTGCTTCGGATATTTAGTTGTCCAACATATGGTCACATCGATGATGTGAAATTTGATCTGAGTGCATATGTGGGACTCAGAGTCATGTTCGGTTATCAAGTATTAGACTCTGATATTGTTCTGAGCAGGTATGTCACATTTGACTCTTAGCAGGTGGAGAGTGTTAAACAGATCGTTGGGATATCGCAACAGGTAGAGAGTGATGCTACTCCACATTGGGTGGAGATTACTCCACGTTCTCCAGATCATTCTGTATTGTTTAGGATTCTAGTTGAGGTGACACATATTGAGGATCATGTTGATTTGGATACAGATGATGAGTTAGTACTAAATGAGTTAGTACTAAATGAGACACGATCCATTGGACTAGAAATTACGTTAATTTAGAGGAGGGAGCTAGATACATTGTTTCATAATCATTCATTTTAATTTTTAACGAGCCCCAAAAGTCTTGATACTTCAATAAGTGGAACCCGGAGCTCAGTTCCTGCCCTGTAGCCAATACTAACTCCCATGACCATGACTACGACCGCACGTGGGCCGTGGACCCCTGATGGACCGGGCCCGTAAGCGGGTACGATCTACACTAAGAAAAGGTGGCTCCCGTGCGCACCCACCAATCGGACCCGGATCCATGATTGCCTACTTTGACCGAACCCGACCCCCACACAGCTAATAGCCAACCATAATAAGACCCCTAACGGGTGGGACCCGCTTTGGAGTTGGATGCTGACCCGAATGCACTGGTAGCTGCGCATGCAGTCAACAGTCAGATGTGGCTATGACTCAGAGTGGGGCCCACTTGTCTGAATTGTAACTTCACACGTGGTCAGTGGTGAATCCAGGACTGAGAAAAAACGGTGTCACTACATAATTCATAGATAAAAATTTTACATTTATAATCATAAGTTTTCGTATTTGGGAAAAAGTACCTGATCTAATCTTACCATTAGTGACACTGTGGAATGTATATTTTTTCAATATATAAGAGATAAGCAATAAAGTTAATGAAAGGTAGCGAAATAAATGAGTGATGATTAGTTCAATGATTGTTATGTTAGCCACATATAAAATCATCGACATCTTCAAACCAAGATACACAAAATAGTTTTTGGCTTAATTACACTTAAACACCCTATAGGCTCAACTAATTTGCACACTCACAGTCATATGTGGCTGCACTTAAATGCCATAAAGTTTCTAAAAGTTACACTTTAATATCCTTAGTTATGCAAACGAAAGAGTTTCTCCCCAAAAATTCTCATGAGACGTTCACATACTAATTTTAGAATATTTTCACTCTTAATATATGTTAAAATTATTGTTAAACCTATCAAAATTCTATTTCAATATAGAATTAGGGTAGATCTAACATAAAACTTCGATAGGTTTAGCATTGGATATAACGAAAAATGAGGATTAAAATATTCTAAATGCGAGTGTCAAATGAGATTTTTTTTTTTTGCGGAAAATTCTCACCTTTGGTTAACTAAGGGTACTAAAGTGTAACTTTTAAAAATTTTAAAATATTTAAGTCTAACCAAATGCAAATTAAGGTATATATGTGCACAGTAGGTGAAACTATAATGTGTTTAAGGGCCATTAACCTCATAGTTTTTTATGTGGGGTAGGGTCTCATTACTCCTTGACCAAAGTGGGGTCACGTGACCCCACTTTGGTACAGGTAGATCCGCCCTTGCACGTGGTGGTTCGAATAGAACGAAGATTTTGGTAGATGCATCCCCTCTAATGATTTTCATTTCGACTCGGCCAACTTCAGAGAGGAAAATGCGCTTTGACAAATAGAGTCCCAGAGGGTTAACAAGTCAAAAAAGAATTCACTTCTTAGGGGGTCTATTTGCCGAGATTAGACTTTAGAGCTAACAAGTTCCGCAACGCTATATTTGCGGGTGGTTTATCTGCAAATGTTAACATCTATTAAATTATAGGGTTAGTTGTGAACAGGCCTCTATGGTATGACCCAATTGTGAATAGCCCCCTTAGCTCTATTTGCGGCCAACCACTAATGGAATGAAACTCATGTACTGGTGGCCCGGGTGCGAATACACTCTCTTAGTAAACTTTTTTTTTTCCGACTCTTATAAAAGTCAAAATAAATTAAGAATTAAGGATCGATCCTCACCAATAGAACAATAGGGGGTCTGCCCGCATCCTCAAATATTTTTAACAATTTTCAGATTTGAGGGGAAAAAGGACACTCAGAGGATCTATACCTTTTAACAGAACTGTAAGGTGTCTATTCGCAATTGAGTAATACTATAGGGGATCTGTTAGCAAGTAACCCTATATTATAACACCAAATTTTGCCATATGTTAGAACGTTTGGTGTAACAAAAAACTTTAATGTTGAGTAAATCCAACTTCAAATCCTTTACAAAGAAAACCCTCCCTGAGCAAGTATCAAAGAGCTGATGACAGAAGAAGACATCATTTTATCAAATACATGTTTCGAGCTATAAAAGAAGAACACACATCCTGCAAATGCATGTTACGTTAAAGAAAACTACAACTCTCGGTTCTCACTATAACTTCGAGTTCTGTTGCAATAAAATAGATTTTTAAAATATCCAAATCTTCATGTTTTGCACCTATACCTTCCATAATACGTAAGATGTCTACTATATTTACCCTCAATTTATCAGAAAGTATCCAGTGAATCTGATCTATTCATATTCTATTCCTGTTGATGAGAATTCTCATATCAGTACCCGATAGAATGAACTTGGAGAGAAGCATTATCCCAAGCACTCTCTTATTTTTTCGACAAACAAGCATCTAATGAATCTGATACGTTGAAAATTTTCTTTGCTCTAGACTGGGAACATGCCTCGAATACTCTCACACGAACCAACATATATATATAATCATCATAACTAACATCGTGGCTTAGCTTATCGATAATTAATCACTTGTTTTCATCCTTCAATTTTCAGAAAAAAATAACATCTCCTCTAGAAAAAGTGATTATGACCTCGAATCTGTTTATCCACAATTTTGCTGTGCATGTGCAAAGAAAAACCTCGAACTAAAATACTGTACAAATCACATATCACAACATTTAAGAACGTATGAAGTTGCTAATAACAATTCTGAAGGCCCGCTGTAATCCTAATAAAGAAAGAAGTCTCTCAAACAAGGAACCTGTCAACTCTAATTCAAACAGTCAGCAATCGAGAGAAAAGACCTTAAAATTGTCTACTTGAGCTCAGAAATCATAAAATTTTACCAGGTCAAGAGGAAATGCTAATGTTGTTTATGGTACAACAACAATACCCACCCTGGTTATAAAACTAAAATCTAATAAATACACATACATATACATTTCTCTCTAAAGCATGAGGGCAGAAAAGTACTGCTCGAACTCTTGATCAATGGTGGGTTTACTCGTGCCCAATCGAGCATCTGCAGGGGCGAAGCCAGGATATTCAATTAGTTAAAGCACAAACACGACAGTAATAAAAAAGATCTATGGCTAAAACACTATTAAAAAGCATGATTATTCTTTTTTTTGTAGTGTCAGAGAATGGTTTTTTTTCATTTAAAAAGAATAAACTATTCACAGAATCTAAGTAAATTATAGAAATCTAAGCTGAAAATATAATAATAATTTCTATTATGGAAACTTTACTTTTTGTTAATTGTTTTTTATAGTAAAGATACGAAGGGCTCTCTACAGAGTCACACAAAGCATATTAGTGCATGTCATTGCAATCTCTAGTTTTTTAGTACAATCACTATCAGTGGACAAGCAGTAGTAAACGCACTGATAGATATCAGTGATATAAGCATCAACATTCGTGATATGGCAGCTATCGTTCTCTCCTTCCTGCATGTACATATTCCATAGAGCATCCTCGTACAATCACTATCAGTGGACAGGCACTAGTAAATGCACTCATAGATATTAGTGATATAAGCATCAAAATTCGTGATATGACACATATCGCTCTCTCCTTCCTCCATGTACATATTCTACAGAGCATCCCCCAAAGAATCCCAAAGATACGTGAAACCACATTAAATATTTGAGGCAAAGGCACAAAATTTAGGCTTAGCCCATGAGCACTTGCCTACAATATGCACTCAGTAACTACAATCAGAAGAAAGCAAATACCGACAAAAAGAATAGGGAAGTTCTACGCCATGAAAGTATTTATACCTTGCTCAATGCTACATTTTCCAGAAGCAAGCAAGAAAGGTGCTACGTCATTGGAGTAAATCTCTTCAATTGTTTCATCCTCAAATTGGTTCTCTGCACATAGTTTATCCTGGGAAGAAGACATTGAAGGATTTTCAACTTTAATATCAACTTCAGATGTGATTTTATTATCAGAAACTCCAATGAAGCTTATACTGTCATTTTCAGATTCTATTTCCAAACTATTATCTATGCCACCGTCAATTAGCTCTGCTTCCATAGAGTTATGATTGGTTATGATTTGTGGATGATCAGAACTACCGTATCGATCACAATTTCTATGCTTCAGCAGTGGTGAATCTGAGTTTTCAAGCTCATAACATGGCAGCTTCCTCTTTTTGTTTAATTCAATAATGTTGGCAGAGTGGTCTCCAGCAGGAAATAAGCTGAATTAAGATAGAAGAGAAGAAGAAAAAAGCATCAGGGTTAAAAAGGGGGAAACTCGCTGAATTTGGAATTTATATAAACTTCTTGACTTTGTTGCCATAATATGTTTCCTGCAGAATTATTGCAACAATATAACACCGCAGAACTAACCAATTGCAGATAATTGGTATCATTAGTGAATAAAATTTGTAACAACCACCTTGGAACTTTGGTGTAGTCGAAGGGGTTTAGAAAGAAAGGTATCAAGAGCAATCAGGTGCAAATACCATTATACAAACATTTAAAATGACTTTTTAGGGGGGAAAAGGAAACACTACTCTGTAAAATAACATTTGCAAGTGTAATTTATGAAGTGGTGCAATATAATTCTCAATTATATTTGTCAGACTACAAAATTATACTCTTCAATTCTCACCACAACATAGAAGGAACTTTATGAGTGAAGATGACATTTGCAAGTGTAATTTATGAAGCGGTGCAATATAATTTACATTTTCTCTGTTGATAAGTTAGGAAGCAGAGCAGAAAATAGACCTAGAATGGACTACATTAACCATTATTTATAGATTTAGCGGTCAAGCAAAGGCCCCTACTCAATCTCAAACACTTATATTCAAATATGAGTGTGTCAATTATAAAGAATTCGGAAATGACAGAAAGCAAACAAGACCAGCACTTAAAACTATAGTATCCACAAAGAATTCAGGATAAGAACTTATTGATTCTAAATGTCCAGCCATCATCACTACCATAACTGCACCCTAAAAACCAATACACATAATATATACAAATCACTGAAAATATATGAAGCTAAGAATCTGGTAGTATAATCGATGACGCCCATTCCTTCTAAATGGTGAATTGTAAGAGTGTATGAAGAGATGACTCCTCATATTTGAATATAAGGGTGTTACAATCTCTTAAACAAGTACCGGTGCGATTCTTACTGGGTATATAGGGCAAGATTTACTATGATTTTTGGGTGATTGCATATAACACTGACGGTCTCAACTATCAATATAGCATTGACTGTAAACTGCAGACATCAATGACTTAAAGATACTTAGTTTCCAACAATATAGCATGGGCTGTAACCCTTTAGGCAGTAATTAGCACCGAAGTTTCCCATTGATATATACGAACAAAAGGTTTCAATGATAATGGGGGATGAAATAGCTAGACCTCCAAAAATATGCATGGCAATGTAGCTATTAATAAACTCATGACATGTATAGTGCTACATCTGAGCCCATGACATCTACTTGGTGCAAAAAAATTCTTATAAAGTGAAATTCAATACAGAATTTCTCTTATTATCCTATCAAGACTCCTTTTTTCAGAATCAGTACAAGCAACTTTCTTCAATAGATCTTCTAGTAAGATCATGAAGTATAAACATGATATTCCACTTTGGCATTTTTTGATACACATGACTAATTACAGAACAAACCCAACAATTATTTTGTACTTGCTAGTTTGGCAAAAAAAATTCAGGAATATTTAGCTCAATAAAATCGATTGCCCAACTACCTATGTTTCACGGGTACTAGTTCTATCTGAGAATCCTATTTAAACCCATGAATCTTTCTTATTTTTCCAATGTGGGACTATACTCACATATGAATATCCTAATAGCATCGTGCCCTTGTGATACCCATAGCATACGTCGAAACTTCATTGAGCACTTGTTGGATTTATTTCAACCATGTACTCAATTATACAATACATGCTCTAATTTGAAACGCCCATCGTACACTTCTTGGACATATATCCTACACTTCACATACACTAATTGAAACTTGTTGGACAAGGATCGAATTCATTTCATCCCCGTAACTACTTCAGAATGATAATTTTAGAAGGCCTTCTGAATATTGGGTTCAAAAGCAAACAATTTTCAACTTATAAATCGATATAATGATAAGAACATAAAAATATTACATAAAATTTGACATTCATAGCATATGAATGAGAAAACCAATAGCTCTCATTTAGATTATTATTATTATAGTTGTGTCCAAGAAGCAAACCTTTTAACAATTTCCCGTACCCATACCCACATCCACACCTGTATTCATATCCGCGTAACATAGCTGGCGACAATGCCCTAAATTCTAATACAGTACTTACTTATTCTCTGTTCTTTAGACCACTATAAATAAAATAAATTGTTTGCGTCGGAAATTATTTTATTTGCTGAACCCATTACAAATCGTTTATCGAATACAATGAATTCAAAGAAACAAGCCTTTTTATAAGACCTCTTGTTACAAACAAATAAGCAATTTTTTGACGCCTACATAAATGTCATTAGCAATTCAAGTAAAAAAGTTCAAGTAAAAATTTGGGATAAGGTTGCTGTTGTTGTTCAACAGGCAGTTCAAGTAAAACTAGTGACCCTTCAAGTTTCTGCCTTTCAATCCCAACAATTCTCAGTCCTCTACTTCATATTTCAACTGGAATTTCTTCATGACCCTTGGGGTTCTTTCTCAAATCCAACAAAACCCAACTACTCTTTGCACTTATACCCATCATCCCAAAGCAGAAAAACCCCCAAATTAGCAATCAATTTCTAATTGAAAAATTGCACTACTTCACAAACAGAATCTACACAAAAACCCATCAGCAGAGAAACAAAGCAACTCAATGTGCAACAAAAAGGAAAAAAAAAATAACAGTATTTGATGAAAGTTTGATTGAAATTGACCTGTTGGGTAAGTGATCTGAATCCATGGGTTCAGCCAAAAACAAGAGGAAATAAGAATTCAGGGCTCAGCTCTCTCTAAACAAAAGATTCCGTTCGTTGATTCCATGCGCTGAGCTCACTCCAGCCTGAAGACCCAAAACGGTATTGTTTAATAAATAAATAAATAAATAAAATAATCATATTTATGGACAAATTTTCAAAAGCAACCCATTTGATAAACTAATTGCAAAAAACGACCCATTTGGGATTTATTTAGAGAAACCGACCTGGTTTCAGCACTGTCGCTGAAACCAGGTCGGTTTTTCTAAAAAACTTTACGAAACTTCACGGGAGTTCAACTCCCGTGAAGTTTTTTCACATAACAAAACTTCACGGGAGTTGAACTCCCGTGAAGTTTCGGAATTTTTTTTTCAAAAACCGACCTGGTTTCAGCGCTGAGGCTGAAACCAGGTCGGTTTTTACAAATAAAACTGAAATGGGTCTTTTTTTGGGAATAGTTTATCAAATGGGTTGGTTTTGAAAATTTGTCCTCATATTTATCCATCGCAGGATGTAATGATCTAATATGTCACTCTTGAGAGTGATGGGAGTGGGAGGACATTCGGTGGTAAGTTTATGGGCTTTCTTGCTGGCCCAGAACTAGCACATTAACGCTTAGCACCCTTGTTCAGGCCTGACCCATAAAAATAAGGACTGCAGAATCCACGATCAAATCATCCCAATTAACACTTATTTTTTTCACTTTAACTTTTTTAAAAAAAACTTGGGAAAAATGTTTCAAGGCCCCAAAATAAGTGTATTTTTACTTATAAGGCCTCAAAATCATGTTGTTAAATATTTACTTAATAATTATTTTCTAATTATGAATATCAACAAAATAAGTTGAGATTCTTCAACTTATTTTTTGTCCACTTATAAGGAGATTTACTTATCGGTATTAAAAGACCATCCTGCTCTCTAACAAAATAAGTAAAAATAAATAATAGATAACTTATAAAGAATCATAAAATAAATAGTAGCCAAACATATCCTAAATTATGGGTCCTCACCTTGGAGTTCAGATCCTATTAAAATGCTCTGTATGGTGGTGTGGGATGTTCTAAGCTATTGAGATATCAAATAGGGGGATAGTTAGGGTATTTTTCCTGCCCCCTATATACAGGGAGGCCCCAAGGTTTGGGTTGTCCTAGCCCAATCCAATTTTAGTTACCACTTATATTAAAAAATTAGTACGATTAATAACGATAAAAATAAATACATATAATACTATTTAGCGTTCTATATTGGGCTCAAACTGATAATATTCTCTTACAAAATCAATATTCATATAAGAAAAGATTATATTTGTGCTACAATTTAATTCAAAGAAGATTACTTCTCCTTGAATTTTTTGAAGCGAATTCTTCAATTAAGTCATCTTACATATGCACGTGTTTGAAAAAAAAACTAATGAAATGCATCCTCAATTTATTTTGAGAAAAAGAATTATTTTAGAATAATAATTGATGAGAAATAATTTTAAAGAATTTATTCTAGGAAAGAGAATATTTTGGATTATTATAATGAGAAATAATTTTTAAAAGAAATTATTTTGGGAAAGGAATTATTTTATGAAGTGCGTAGTTGTTGATTCATGATTACATTTCATGTTTGTGATTATTTTACTGTATTTGACATGTCTGTTTTTATTGTTCCTGATTGTATTGAGAATCGTTAGTAGTTTATGACTAGAATGACCTGTGTGACGTGAGTAAGACCCAGAGACCCGTATTATGGTTGACTTAGAAAACGAGAAGAGTTGGGATGGGGAAGTTAATGTTCATGTGCTTGGATGTGACTGTTGATGTATCTTCCAGCCCACGCCGGTGAATTCGTGTAGTCACTGGGGTTGGTTTGTTGGTCTAAAGTGAATTCGTGTAGTCACTTTAGTCCGTGACTTGTTTCGTCACCTGAGCTTTGCCTGAGTTCGGACCAGGCCGAGATCGGATTGCGTGTAGTCCTCTGACCGATTCGTGTAGCGGTATTGGATGCGCGTAGAGGATTTGTGAACAGTCAGTTATCCGGTGATATGAGCGTTGACTTTATGTGAGATGTGGACCAGTGAGTTTTAGAATGGCTAGTTACATGACCTTGTTGCTGTGCTAGGTATGGATTATTGTGAGATGTAGGACAGTTGTGTTTCTTTTCATACATAGATCAGAGTTAATATTTAATTATCTATAATTTGAGACATATGGTATATACATGAGGGTTTCCTTGTTTGGATTATTTCGTTCGACGTACTACGTCTCATGTTATAGATTTTTAAGTATTAATTCCATCTAGTGTATGCCCTTGTTGCTTGGAAGATTTCTGATCATTAGCTGCATGACCTCGTTACCTGATCGATTTTGGATGCTTTATGTTATCATGATTTAGTAGTATTTTCATGTTGATTTGTGGATTTCAGTTGTACGTTCTTTTGTTATTTCTGTTATCGTATCGTTTTTCGCATTGGATTTCCGTTCGTTCTATTTTCTTTGTGGGGTCGGGTCTTGCCGTGCGCCATGCACCTGACGTACACCTGTTCTCTCTGGTGTACGTCAGACTTAGAGGAAGAACAGGTTCAGCTGGAAAATCACCAAGAGCTAGAGGATTCTCAGCAGGAGTGCCTTGGAGACGGAGCAGAAGAAGAAGCTCAAGTTTAGTTATTTCCCTCCATTTTCTTTTGTACTACATTCCATTTCTATTTGATCAGTGTATTTTGTATCTCTTTAGTATTCATTTGTTTAGATTTGTATAAGGGTATGTTTGACCCGTATTTTATGTCTTAGATGATTTACCATTGATGATATGTCTATTTTTATTCTGGGTTGTCTTTATATTCTTGCTATGTGTGATCGGGGACCTGTGACTTCGTATTGTATTAATTCCAGACGCTTAGCGTATTAGATTGAGAAGAAGAGGTCTAGCACTTATCTCTCCTCAGTCTAATACGTCGCGGGCTTGCTCGCGTTCCAATTCCCGGGTATTTTGGGAAGCGGGGCGTGACAACCACAATACTAAGTCCGCATCATGTTAAAGCTTGTAATTTTATGTTTATAAATTATAACCCTACATTATATAAAAAAAATTGGTTGCCCCCCGGCTTTGGGTTGCCCCAGCCTCGGGGCTTGGTGTTCATTTCGTCCATATCTTATCACTCTTTGACTCCGGAGTTCACAACGGTTCTTGTCCCATCGCTTCGCGATTATCCTCTCTTTGTATAACTCCTCTATCCTCGTGCCTGTCATTATTTTATATGTTATTATTTTACACTATATTTTCTTTGACTTGACTTGTGTATCATTTGATTGCATTGAATTCTATATTATTTATTATATTATATTATGTATCACATATAATGTTATATTGTACGTTTTCATTTGTTTATAAATCTATTTTATCTTTCATAGTTCATGTTTTATGTATTATACATTCTATTTATGTATATTACACTGATTGTATTTATATGATTTTGACTATTATACAATATACTACTATGTCTAAATTGATTTTATATAGTGATGATTATTATTGTTGTATCTTGTCTATATTTATGAATATTATTAATACTTCTAATTTATCATATTGTTTGTCAAATATATAATTATTTTCTTCTTATTATGTTTTATATAATATGTTTATCTTGAATCACGTGTTTACTCTTATGTCTATTTTATCATATAATATTTTGTGACTCCTTCCATCAAAATTTATTTTTGTTAGCATGATTAGTACCATGAGTATACATACTTTTTATATGCTTATTATTATGTATGTGTTTTCATTTTTAACGCTTATTATACATAATGATTATATTTGTTATATACATCATATGTTCTGAATCTTGTTTATCACTTTGCTTTTATATCTTTTATTTTTATACTTGATTTTATTTGTGTTTCTTGAACCTGACTATGATTTGGTATTATTTAATTTGTTTTATATAACTGTTTGTATGCTAGTAATTATTGTGTATCGCTTCATCCTGTTATTGATTATTATTATGATTTGCATCTGTTTGTTGCTATATGTATCGATGTGACTCTATCTATGTTTATTCTTAATGTTATTTTCAATTGTGATTATGTATGTTCTGTATACCTTATTATAATCTTTATTGTTCTTATGCTTGATTGTTCTGCATTCTTGTTTTATATCTTGTGCTTTTCTAGTAATATTGCGTCATAATACTGCATTATCCTCGTGTTTTAGTATATTTTAGACATTTTTCATTGTCTACTATTTTATATTATGATATAAGTGCATTATCTAGCTTGTTTTATTACGTATAAAGTAGTTTCGTTTAGTACATTTCATTTCATTCTTTACTTCTAATTACATGTATCATCATTGTTTGATTTAATTTATCAATCATTTCATCTTTCTTAGTTTTGTTTGTGTTTTGCTTACTTATTTTCTATATACAGTTTCATATTCATTCTAATACTTATTTTTTATTTTGTTCTTTGTTCAGGTTAGTTTGCTTCCTTTATTTAGTCATGATATTTATATAAAGTGTGTGTTGTCGATAATTATTATTGTGATATACGACTATAATTATTTATTTTGTTTTGATATGATATACTATGTATAATCCATTTCTTATATGTTGTTGTGTCATATCACCTTGTTCTTCCATGTTTATCTGCTTTGTATTCTTTTGTATATCATATCTTTTTGGTTTATGTTCAATTACCATCTAACATTCCACTTGCATTACGTTGCTTATTTTTACATAATTATATTGTTTGTCGCATTCTAATTTCTGTGTATACAATTTGTAATTTCCCAATATTGTGTAATGAATTATTTATCTACTAAATTTTGTATACTACTCTACATGATTATTTGATTGTATAATTATTTTAATAATTGTGTTTAACTATTTATATTTGACTGTCTTTGTATCTTTCTATGTTTCAGACTACTTTTCATCATTCCATCAATTAAATATATTTTCTTTTTATTTGTGTTTATTTTGTATGTATTATTATTCTAATTGCCTTATGATTGCTTTTCCTATTATCCTTGATTTCAACTTATTATTATATCATTCTATTTTGTTATATGATCCTGTTGATGTTGTTTTTTTGCTCATTTACTCGTTTTTATTGATATTATATCTTACATTGTGTTTTTAATATCTTTAGTTTGAACATGTATTGATTGTGTTTTTCATAATTAATTTTTTTTTTATTTGTGATTAACCATTGTTATACCCTGCCATTATTTTTTGTTTAAACTGTTATGTATCTTAGATTTTCCGACTTTTCTTATTATGTTGTTTATGTTTCTGTCTTTTTCTATTGTATTTGACTTATTTTTGTGTTTGCTTTAGATTTATTGTTCTTACTTGACCTTATTCTTACTTAATATGTTTCAGCTTTGTTTCTAGGAAAGCTTGTATATTATTTGCATGATTCACTCTATATGATTGTTTATTTATATTGTACCTATTGTTTTGATTCTATGTTATTGCTTATCTTATACTTTATACTGATTAGATTTCTTATATATTTACAAGTACTGTATAACAAGTTCACACAGTTAAATATGTTTGTATCATAGTATTTACTTGGATTTTATTACGAGTCTGAGATGCGATAGCGATATCTTAGTTATCACAACTTGTATCTCAGCTTGTGCTGTTCTTGTCTTACATTCCCCTTTTGCTTATGGATATGCAATTTATTTTGAATTCTTCTCTATATGCGTTGGGTGAGCCTCTCTTTCCATATCTCTGTCCTTGGGTTTAATTTCGAGGGCGAAATTTATTTTAAGGGGGGTAGAATGTAAGGACCATGAATTTTTAATACTAATTAAAATAATTTTCTGATATTAAAATATTTAATTATTATATTTTAAAAGAGTATTTGTATTTTCTCGATTTTCTATAATTTTCTATGATTTAAAAATCTGATTATATATTTATTTAAATGATTTTGATATTTATAAATTTATTTTATGCGGCAAAAATTTCTCGAATTAATTTGTTGTGTTATCGGTACTATTACGTATTATTTTAAATAATATATTGTGTTATTAATATTATTACAAATTATTTCACATAATACATAGTATTATTAATTACGTGATTTCGGTATAATTTATTATATTATTTCTAGTGTTATATATTATCTGTCGTATTAGTATAACTAGTACGTTTTACTGTGTACATAATTGTCCCATAATTATTTAATTTTAAATTTAAGTAGAAATATTTTTATTATTAATTATTCTTGTTTAATTATACAATATGGATATATTTCGACTATTTCGTATCAACTGTTATATTAGCACAACATGTACGTTTTTAATTGTAGATAATTATTCTGTAATTAGTTTAATTTTTAAGTACACGTAATTATTTATTTTAATTATTTTTGGTTGAATTTCCTAACTCTAAACCCTAATATCCTGCATATATATATAATTTCCCCCTCTCTCTCTCTTCGTTTTCATTTTCACGCCGCCTCCCTATTTCTCTCTCTCCTCCATCGTTCTCTCTCTTCCAACTGCACCCAACCCACGTTCTCCTCCTCCGACGCCCCGCACGCCCGCGCTCCTCCTCCGCTACCTCTACCACCCCAGTTCGCCTCCGTCGAACTCCGATCAGCCCCGGCGTCGAGTCGTCGTCGTCAGCCCGAGCCGTCGAACCCCGAGGCAAGACCTCTCCTCTCCTTATTGCCGTTTCAATATTTTTATGTGTAGATTAGTTTGTGTTATAATTAATTGCGTGGGTTGTTTGGTGAATAATATTGATTTATATCATAGTTGTGTGATAAATAGTATTTTCGAAATAATGGTAATGAAGTGAAAGAAATTATTTTGATCACGGAACCAATTTAGAGAATTTATAATAATTAAAAAGAATTTATTTTGAGAAAAGATTATTTTAGAATAATTATTATGAATTAAAAGAATTTATTTCGGTAGTGGAATCTTTTTGGATAATTATATTAATTAAAAGAATTTGTTTGAGAACGGATCATTTAGAAAAATTATAATAATTTAAAAGAAATTATTTTCGGCAAAAGAATTATATTTTTGATAATTATGATGATTTAAAGGAATTTATTCGCAAAGATAATTATCTATTTTAGATTTAAGTAATTTATGATTTTATATGAATAGTTTAGATGGCTGGATAACAAGATGTTGGTGAAACCGGACTACAAGTATGTTTTTACTGTTTACGATCATATTTCACGTTTTGCATTTATTTAATGTATTTGACATGTCTGTTATGTGTTATTCATGTTGTGTTTGAGAACTCTTAGTAGTTCATGACTTAGTGGCCTCGTGCGTCATGAACAGACTTAGTGACATGTGTGAGTGTGTTGACTGAGTTTAGGTGGTGAACCCGAGTTTCAATGAGGATTATGGTTGACTTAGAAAACGAGAAGAGTTGGGATGGGGAAGTTAATGTTCATGTGCTTGGATGTGACTGTTGATGTATCTTCCAGCCCACGCCGGTGAATTCGTGTAGTCACTGGGGTTGGTTTGTTGGTCTAAAGTGAATTCGTGTAGTCACTTTAGTCCGTGACTTGTTTCGTCACCTGAGCTTTGCCTAAGTTCGGACCAGGCCGAGATCGGATTGCGTGTAGTCCTCTGACCGATTCGTGTAGCGGTATTGGATGCGCGTAGAGGATTTGTGAACAGTCAGTTATCCGGTGATATGAGCGTTGACTTTATATGAGATGTGGACCAGTGAGTTTTAGAATGGCTAGTTACATGACCTTGTTGCTGTGCTAGGTATGGATTATTGTGAGATGTAGGACAGTTGTGTTTCTTTTCATACATAGATCAGGGTTAATATTTAATTATCTATAATTTGAGACATATGGTATATACATGAGGGTTTCCTTGTTTGGATTATTTCGCTCGACGTACTACGTCTCTTGTTATAGATTTTTAAGTATTAATTCCATCTAGTGTATGCCCTTGTTGCTTGGAAGATTTCTGATCATTAGCTGCATGACCTCGTTACCTGATCGATTTTGGATGCTTTATGTTATCATGATTTAGTAGTATTTTCATGTTGATTTGTGGATTTCAGTTGTACGTTCTTTTGTTGTTTCTGTTATCGTATCGTTTTTCGCACTGGATTTCCGTTCGTTCTATTTTCTTTGTGGGGTCGGGTCTTGCCGTGCGCCATGCACCTGACGTACACCTGTTCTCTCTGGTGTACGTCAGACTTAGAGGAAGAACAGGTTCAGCTGGAAAATCACCAAGAGCTAGAGGATTCTCAGCAGGAGTGCCTTGGAGACGGAGCAGAAGAAGAATCTCAAGTTTAGTTATTTCCCTCCATTTTCTTTTGTACTACATTCCATTTCTATTTGATCAGTGTATTTTGTATCTCTTTAGTATTCATTTGTTTAGATTTGTATAAGGGTATGTTTGACCCGTATTTTATGTCTTAGATGATTTACCATTGATGATATGTCTATTTTTATTCTGGGTTGTCTTTATATTCTTACTATCTGTGATCGGGGACCTGTACCTTCACTTTATTTCTTGACGCTTAGCGTATTAGATTGAGAAGACGGGGTCTAGCACTTATCTCTTCTCAGTCTAATACGTCGCGGGCTTGCTCGCGTTCCAATTCCCGGGTATTTTGGGAAGCGGGGCGTGACAACCACAATACTAAGTCCGCATCATGTTAAAGCTTGTAATTTTATGTTTATAAATTATAACCCTACATTATATAAAAAAAATTGGTTGCCCCCCGGCTTTGGGTTGCCCCAGCCTCGGGGCTTGGTGGGCTTACCCCAGGGCTGGGCCTGCCTGTATAGCTTCGAACCTCCCATGCGGTGCGGAGTTTGATAGGATCTGAACTCGCCTTGACCTTCAATAAGCAGACATGGTTGACAATTTGAAATAATCTCGCTTTGTAGAATTAAAATTGATTTTAGTAGAGTATAAATTAGCTCAGAACTAACCTAGTGTGGTAAATAACCATATCGGAACTTAAACAAATTTTGTTAGGTCAGGCAAATTTTGACCACTAACTTAACCATTGATTATCCGCCCATTAATCCAAAAACTAAGAGAGCGTTTGGCTACCAGTGTGTTTATCCCGTTTTCGTTTTTTTTTCCAAAAAAAACGTATACCCACGTTTGGGAACTGAGGTGTTTTTTTGAGCTGCCCTTCACAAAACACAGAAAAAACACGCTTTTTCCAAAACACCTAAAAGGTGTTTTCAAGTTCCCGTCTCATTTTCCCCCAAATCAACCCCGACCCCTTTTCTCTCCCTCAGCCCTAACTTCGTCGCCTCCGCTCCAAATCGGCTCAGCTCCGACCCTCCGACGCCGCCTCCGACCCTCCGACGCCACCTCCGACCTCGCTGAAGCCTCCGACGAAGCCTCCGACCTCGACGAAGCCTCCGACCTCGCTGAAGCGTCCGACCTCGCTGAAGCCTTCGACGCTACCTCCGCTCCAAATCAGCGCAGCTCCGACCCTCCGACGCCGCCTCCGACCCTCCGACCCTCCGAAATCAAGGTCGGTTTTTTTCCTCATTTATTCTGTGTGATATTTGTTCCCATTTTACGTGCTAATAACTGAATCTGTTTGTGAGTTATACCTAATATTCTTTTGGAGATGCTTGGTATATTTGTTAGGATAATTCCATTCTTTTTTCTTTTTCTTCTAATTTTGTGGATAAACTATATTTTTTTACAGCTATCATCATTCGATCTGCAGGTCAAAATTAAAAACGAAAACGAGAATGTATTAGATTTGTTCCCCTTTTACCTTTCAATTATTTGCTGAAATAATAACTGTGTGATAAATTTTGGGGTGATGTTTTAATTTAGACTCCTTTAGACATGTTCTAAAGTCAAGGTTGTTAACGGAAAGATTTTTTTTCTTTTTCTTTGAGCATGATAAATGGTCTGGGGATTTAACTTTCCCATCTCTGTTTGCTCTCGCTGAAAAAACCAAAGTCATTGTGTGTGATATGAAAAGTAGATGTTCTGATGGTTGGGTTAATGTTTGGTATCTCACTGAGAATTAATGAAGAAGATTTGGATGTTAGAATTAAGTTGGAAGAGTACTATGTGCAATATATATTTGGTTAGTTCCTGTGCCTTTGAAATTAAGTTAAGATTCTAAACTGGTCGAGGACTTTTGTGTGTGTTTAAAATTATGTTTGTGTTCTAGTAAATTGAAGACTTGTGGGGTGAGTTGTAATAATGATACGATATATGCACATTCATATTCAAATACTAAATAGGAATTGCTCAAGTCATCAATAGGAGTCCTGTTTCATCCTATGTTGATTCCACTTTTCATGTGGATACTTTTATTCATGTTTCATGTGGATACTATTTATTCATGTTTCATCCTATGTTGATTCCATATAATAAATACATGTTGATTCCACTTTTCATGTACCACAAAGTATTCATGTTTCATCCTATGTTTTCAGCACTCACTAGAGACCATCTCTACATATTTTAAGAAGGTCCTTTATGCAATTTGCTCTCTAACCAAATATGTCATCGTTCCTCCATCATACGATGCAACTCCACCAGAGATATCATATACCACAAAGTATTATCCTTATTTCAAGGTATGTATATATTCCTTCCTACATTAATTATGTGAATTTTTTTACTATCGTTCTAATAGTAATATATATATTACATGACAAAATTGTGTAGGTGCTATAGATGGAACTCATGTTTCAGCTTGTGTGCCGCAAGATAGTCAAGTTCCATATCGTGGAAAGAAAATTGTGCCGACAATGAATATGATGTGTGCTTGCTCTTTTGATATGCGGTTCACATTTGTTATGAGTGGATGGGAAGGAAGTGCAAATGATTCAAGAATTTTCTTAGAGTGCATTAGCAATCCCGCAAACAAATTCCCTATGCCCCCTGCAAGAAAGTATTATTTGGTTGACTCTGGATATACCAATATGCCGGGTTTTCTTTCACCGTACCGTGGAGAACGATATCATTTGAATGATTATCGAGGGCAAAATCTTCCACCGCAAGGTACTAGAGAACTATTCAATTACTTGCATTCATCATTAAGGAATGTTATAGAACGATGCTTTGGGGTATTGAAAAAAAGATTTCCAGTTTTAAGAGATATGCCATCATATAGTTTGAGAAAACAAAAATATATAGCATTAGCATGTTGCGTTATTCACAATGTGATTCGAATGTATGATTCTGGAGATCCATTATTTGTCGAGTTTGAAAATGAAGATGTGGAGCTTGAAGAAGATGATATGACTGCACAAGAACAACAAACCATACCGGTCAATGTCGGCCCAGAGCACCTTCGTGAGATGTCAAGGTTTCGAGATCGTTTGGCCCAAAGGATGTGGAACGATCGTGGTGGGTAATATCGGGATGTGTTTTGAAATTAATGTATATTATATTGTAATGTCACTAAAATACATTTTGAGCCTAATGCATATATATATTATCAATGTCATTAAAACATGTTGAACAATTATTCATCATTGTTTCATGATGGTGGTGACGTATTAGAATTTTTTTTAAATTTTTTTTGAATTATAGGCATTGAAAAAAGCTCCCAAATTGTGTGGTTGACTGTATATATATTATCAATTTTTGAATCACTCGCTCACCTGCTTCATTACTTCTTGCAGATTTGAGTGTTGCATTACATACTGCCGTTGGCCATAAAACTTCCATATAAATCTACATCAGCAACATAAGATTGATCGGCACCATCCGAAATGTTAACATCTCACAAATTTCTATGCTTCTTACCCAAGCAAAATCTTGGCAGAAGCATGAACAGCGTAGCACGAGGATAATAACACAACAAAATAAAAGAAAAATTGAGTACATCCAGGGCAAGAAAACTGACAGAGTTGAGGAAAATTACGACAACTATATTCAACCTCTTCCAGATCACAATATTTTATCATGCAAGCTTCTGGTATATACAACACAGAAGACCACAAGCTTTCCCCTTCGTTACACGAGAACAAAAGTATCAAGATACAATGTACAAGCTTCTAGTCTGCAATGTACAAGCTTCCAGTCTGGAACCAGAGGCCATTAACCTATCGCATCAATCGTTCCCCAAAGACTGCTATTTCCATATGCTCATACTTTAAGTTTGGATGCGCTCCTCCTTGCAGTTACAATTAAAATAAATACAAGAATGAACATGAAAGTTAAAATGTAAAGAAAATAAATACAACCACCCGCTAGCCGGACGACGGCCGGAGGCGGCGGCGGCGACGACTAACGGCCGACAAGTGGTTGGTGGTGGGGAGTGGCAACGGGTGAGAGTAAGGTTTAATTGGTTGGGTGTGTATCATATGCTAAAACTAAAATGGTGTTTTGAAAACACTTTTGAAAATAAAACACCATGACATGGTGTTTTTTTAAAAAACACAACCAAAAAAACACAATGGTTACCAAACATACCCTAAACTACTTTTTTTTCCGCTTTGAGAAACTGAACCTCAACCTAAGTTTGCAAGGTTGGGCCTTGGGGTTTTAGAGTCTCACTGACTCCAATGTTTGAATTTGAGAAATTTGACAAATTAAGAATTCTTGAAAGTTTCATGTTTTTGAAATATTTTTTTGTTAGATTGAGTGTAGATTTGAATTTTTTTGTCTCTGCCAAAGAACTTTTGATGCGAGGACATTTTTCCATGGATTCGTAGAAACAGAAAACTAAGAGTCCAAGAGTTAAGCTTTAAAAAAAGATACATAACAAGTTTAACCATAGTCAAGTTGGCAAGGAAAGCAAAAACAGGGTAAAATCCCGTTCACACACAGATACAAGAGAGAGCGTGTATCCCAAGTGAATACCAAAAGAAGTCTAGGTCTTCTACATAAATGTTGCTAGAGTAGTGTTATATGCCCTTAAACATCCAATACATTTTTATTGAATATTAATTAAGTTTTATTGTTGCACATATTATTTGGGTATCTTTTATATAAGCCAACAGCTTGGTGCTCCAATTGAGTACGGAAGCGGTTGGTGAAGTTTGTTTCCTTGAAAATCTCTCTCACATCCTAAATTTGAGGGATAAGGTAGTTGAGAGGAGTTCCACACCCAAAAGAGTAATTTCACTTAGATAAAAAAAGGTTATTTTAGGAAGTATAAATAAGAAGAGAAATATAATTTGTGATTAGTTACAACTATACAACTAATGAACGCGTCTCTATTTTTTCCGTCCTTTTCTAGCATTCTTCCTTCTTCGTTTCTTATTGCTTTTGAACTATAAACTCTTCCAAAACTTATTCATGTATTGCATTATTTTCTGTCTTTTATTTCTCTTATTCGTGATTAATTTTGCCAAAAAAATATCTAATTTTCCTCATACACCATGTTAAATATAAGTGATTAATTCTCTTTTATTTCTTCTATATCTTTTTTTATTTTCTATCTTTTTATCTTTTTATTTCTTTTATTAAACAACTTGGTTAATGTTATAGAAAGAAAAAAAAATCTCTTCATAATAAAAACCTAGAGAACTAAAAACCAATCCTAACCCTCCAATCTATCTAATCCAATGGCCTACATTTCGATGGCAGAATTGTAAATATAGACAAATTTAATACACATCATTAATGTGAAAATGGTAAAATTAGAACAATTCATTACATTAATGGTGGCTGGCAACATTGGAAACTGGAGATAATGATTAAAACCAAAAATACAACACGTCCTTTAATACTCTCTCTTACTATCAACGTGCTACGTCCTTTCACTTCCCCATTTCTCTCTCTAACTCACTTCCTGCTCCCTATAACTCACTTCCATCTTCTATCAAGCTTTGATCTTCCATCTTCGCATGAAGAACACAGCAACAATTCATTAAAAATCATCCTAACCATCCAAGCTTTCGCTGGAGTGAATCTGGATTCACTCCAGTGAATCTGAATTCACTCCATTGAATCTGGATTATATTGAAGCTCGATTCATTGGAGTGAATCCAGATTCACTGAATTGAATCCAGATTAAGTGAACTGAAACTCGTTATCAAACAATAGCAAATCTGCAAAAATAAAAAACAAAAAGAATAAGAAACTTTTATCAAACAATAGCAAATCTGCAAAAATAAAAAACAAAAAGAATAAGAAACTTATGGTAAAAAACAAGCTATAAAATTTTAAACCATGATAAGATTTCACATTTTACAGCAAAAAGTTACGATTTTTATGATAAAAAAACAAACATCTCACATAACTGAATCTGGATTTACTACAGTGAATCTAGATTCACTCATGCGTTTATTTCTTCAAAATTACAGCACATGCATTTATTTCTTCAACAATTCATTAAAAACCATCCTAACCATCCAAGCTTTCGCTGGAGTGAATCTGGATTCACTCCAGTGAATCTGGATTCACTCCAGTGAATCTGGATTCAATCCAGTGAATCTGGATTCACTCCAGTGAATCTGGATTCACTCCAGTGAATCTGGATTCACTCCAGTGAATCTGGATTCACTCCAGTGAATCTGGATTCACTCCAGTGAATCTGGATTCACTCCAGTGAATCTGGATTCACTCCAGTGAATCTGGATTCACTCCAGTGAATCTGGATTCACTCCAGTGAATCTGGATTATATTGAAGAATAAAAAACTTATGGTAAAAAACAAGCTATGAAATTTTAAACCATGAAAAGATTTCACCTTTTACAGCAAAAAATTACGATTTTTATGGTAAAAAACAAACACCTCACATAACTGAATCTGGATTCACTGCAGTGAATCTAGATTCACTCATGCGTTTATTTCTTCGAAATTACAGCACATGCATTTATTTCTTCAACAATTCATTAAAAACCATCCTAACCATCCAAGCTTTCGCTGGAGTGAATCTGGATTCACTCCAGTGAATCCGGATTATATTAAAGAATAAGAAACTTATGGTAAAAAACAAGCTATAAAATTTTAAACAAAAAGAATAAGAAACTTATGGTAAAAAACAAGCTATAAAATTTTAAACCATGAAAAGATTTCACCTTTTACAACAAAAAATTACGATTTTTATGGTAAAAAACAAACACCTCACATACTGAATCTGGATTCACTGCTGTGAATCGAGATTCACTTGCTGTGAATCGAGATTCACTGCAGTGAATCTAGATTCACTGCAGTGAATCTAGATTCACTTATGCGTGTCTTTGTTTTTTAACTGGTTTCTTCAAAAAACAAAAAACTTTTCAGACTAAAAGGTGAAAAATTTCACCTTTTACAACAAAAAGCTACGATCTTTAAGGTTAAAACTAAAACTTTTAGACGAAAAATCAAACAAATTTCATAAACTTACCATTAAAGCGTCAAAATAATTAAACGATGACAAATGTTGAAGACAATGGTTGAAAATGAAGGTTGAAGACGAAGGTTGAAGAAGGCCGTGGATAGGGAGATGTTGAAGACAGAGAGAGAGTTGCTGTGATTTTGGACGAAAGAAAGAGAGAGTTGCTGTGATTTTGGAGAGAGAGAGAGAGTTGCATGGGGAAATGGAGAACTCAACAAGAAGCATTAATTACCTCTCTTTAGTGGAGCAAACGCGAAAAAGAATTTCAATTTTTAGGTGTATGCTAAATTTTTAGGAAAGTAGGTGAATTTCATTTTTTTTAGGTATATGCTAAATTTTTAGGTTCCAGAAGAATTTTATGTCAGCGTCAAAGAAATACTAAACTTGCAAGAAGTAACAAAAAACAAAAGAAACGATATTGGAGGATAATTAGGAAACAAAGAAACGGTATTGGACTAGGATAATTAGGAAAGTATGTAAGTAGGTCGGACAAAAATACCCTTCCATATTTTTAGACAGTTTTAATTATTTTATCAAATTAAAAATGGTAAAAAAACGTTAATTTGGGAGCACCAAAGCAATGCTCTTTATATAATTGTTATATTATCCTTAGAAAATTATTTTGTTAGATCATTCACTGTGACAGTCATTTTCTTGAAGATATGATCTAATTCAGAAGTTTTTTAAATTTGTGCTTAACCTATAACTAGTAAAGGATAGTTTTGTTATAACAGGTTATTATGCATGACAACGACATGTGAGATGTGATGATTAATCTCAACTATCGGGAATGAAGATTCCTCGGGTGTATGTCATAAGCGCATATTTGATATGTGTAGCACAAGACCTTATTTGGATTCTAGGACGAGCCACCTAAGAGATAGAGAATTATTATTGTTACGTGGTCCTTTAGACTTGATGATATTATCATTTTCGATTCGATAATTTAGTATATGCTGATATGATGGTCAAGCTTGTTTATACAACCTGAAATATTGGGTTATTAGATTTCATTTAGAGAAATTATGGATATCCAGATAGGATCCAGTATACTCATTTTTATAAGTTAATTTATTATGCATATCCCATGAAGATATTAAATTCTCGTCGACGGGTGATTTTTGAAAATTATTTTTGAAAATTTATT